ATCGACACCACCAGACGCAAATCGTATACCATTAGGCTCGAATCGTAAGGCAGATACCTAAATGAATCAGGTTTTAGGCGACACTAACACTTCTTTCGGCGCTTTCGGCCTGGGTGTGGTATTTTGCTATTCGCTAGTTTCTTCTGTTAGTTGCTGTTGAAATTTAAGTCACAGCTTGGTAAGACCTGCAGCCTCTTGTCAACTGTAAACGTGATGGTACGCTCCTAAATGCGCCTTACAAGCATTTACAGGACTCCACACGAGACATTTGCAGCGGTCGATGGGGACCAGCTAGATGCCCCTACCAAGCCGAACTGTGCCCCTCTTTTTCTCAAACACAAGTCGTACAGCTTCCCAGATAACAGGAACTCGTACAGCTTCCCAGATAAACATTAGGAACAACGGCAGATGCACAAAAAAAGTATTCATTGATTCTTATGAAAAATCACTTACTGGTTTTCCACCATGGACTAGCTTTGCTTCGCATGCTGTTGGAATAAGGTTGACAATGGGAATCTGAACAAACCATGATACTATGAAAAATGTAGCCTTGATAGTAAAGAACTCACTCCATCACCAACGTAATCTACGAAATCTTCATCATCGTCATCGCCCGTATCTTTATTCTGGGACTCTGATGAATTAACTATAACACTTTTATCAGGGACGAAGCCGGGAGGCAGCATTGGTAGGAAATCGTCTGAAACCAAACATTAGAAACAAAGAAACAACCGTATGACATCGTCCGTGACCTACCGTCTTCTTCACTCACAGTTCCACTATCTTTCAGTGATTCGCGCTCGGCAGTCTGAAAGAAAATAAACTTCGAAACGAGAAAAAACAAATATTCTTCAAATGAGCCATTGCACTGCAAACGTAAAGAATGATTTAAATGTTATGACGTTCAAAGCTCCACGTTGAACTGTACGCTTTACCTCGCAATGCTACCCTAAACCCTGGTTCATGGTTGTAGTAATGAGGGTAATCCCCGATTTCAAAAAAATTGACGACAAAGGATTAGACGAGAATTTATTGACGTATTGCGAGTGGTGATGCGCGGAAGATGCCTAAGTAGCGTTCAGACTTCGCGACGGCAGCGCTTTCAGGGTTAGCGACTATTCGATGCCGATCGATGCGCAAGGTCTTGAGCTCACAATCGCGGCCTCACACAAGCGTGACCGTGACGCCTGCCGAGTCGCGAAGTTCTTGACACCTCTGCCTAATAATGTTAGAGCCAGATTTCCATCTAGTCGTGTACCGTGAATTCCCGAAAATGCCGCATGGTGTGCGAAATTCTCTATTCATGGATTTTTGAACTCCGCATGTTTAGTACTTTTCATGGCGCTGTTCATTTCGTGAGGCGGTATTCTGCAGTTTGTCGCTAGTTCCGCGATTCGTTGCGCTTTCTGTTATATTAACAGCCGTCATAATTTGGTCGAAAGCCTGTAAACACCCAGTAAAGCTGCAATGTGCGAAAGAGCCTTTAAATCAGATGATTTTCGAGGCATTCACAGAAGGATAGAACAAGCTTGACTGAGTACCGTTTGAGTTCCTTGCCTCACCAAACTCAACTGCGCGCTTTACATTACTCCGCATTAGTACGAACGCGGCCCAAGGAACGCTAAAAAGAAGAAGCGGAGCTGCACAATTTCGCTAGTGTCAGAAACAGGGATACTCAACCCTCGCTATTATTGGAGCTCTCACGGATCAGCAGCAGCCTGGCGTTTGTTAAGCTGCGCCTAGAAAAAAGAACCTACAGCTTTTTCATCGGTTCCGGCCTTAGCTTCAACGAATCGAGCTTGTCCAGCCTATAACAAAATATTACATAACATCAACAGAGGCGGAGGCGCGGTACTCAGAGTTAAGTATGTTGATACCTTTCTTGTTTCTTCAAAAATGGAGTCGAAGTCGAATACCCGTGCCTTCTTCTCGGCATTTTTAGACTTTGGCCCAGTACCTGAATTTCAGAGAATCTAACATAAGCCCACATTGGTGAACCCTCTCTAGTCAAAAGCTTGCTTCTAGGAAAGGCTCTGCCAGAACCATTCCAAGAATTCTATAACCAGATCTGAGAGAAATCTTTATGTGTTCAAGTACCTCCTGATGTCGAAGGAGCGCATTCCTCTTCAACCGCAGCACTCATTTGGCTTACCTTAAAAGGGCAAATTTGGACGTTATATTACATAGATCACTATTTGAGTCCGAGTGGAGACAAGCGAAGAGTATATTAAATGTACAAGCAAAGTACCTAAAAAAAACGGAAACGAGTACAAGGGATTAAATTCAGTTTTAGAGAGTAATCAATAATCGAAACAATAACATATGAGAAGTCCTGAGCTTCTACAGAACAAAGATCGTGACAGAGAAAAAAAAGAAGAGATTTTCGCAATTTTTTTATTCGAAAAGAATTATCGCCTACCACGCACCAAGGACCAGTGACTCGCAATAAGCGTTCATTGTTCCGACGTCGGGGGATTTTACGTCATCGTGTTTTCAACAAAAAATTGGCAC